TTTTTTTTTTGAGACAGAATCTCACTCTGTCACCCAGGCTGGAGTGCAGTGGTGCAATCTCAGCTCACTGCAACCTCCACCTCCCAGGTTCAAGCGATTCTCCTGCCCCAGACTCCCGAGTAGCTGGGAATACGGGTGCATGCCACCATGCCTGACTAATTTTTGTATTTTTAGTAGAGACGGGGTGTCACCATGTTGGTCAGGCTGGTCTTGAACTCCTGACCTCATGATCCGCCCACCTGGGCCTCCCAAAGTGCTGGGATTAAAGGCATGAGCCACCACGCCCAGCCTAGGTATAAAAAATTTGAAACGATCTTAAAAATCAGTTACAAGAATTCAAAGAATACGCAAGCATCATTTGATATAGGAACAACTACCTTAAAATGCTTAAGGTTATTGCTGAATTATAAAATGGCACAAAAATTATAACATGGTAGCAAAATAAGAACTCAGTAATCAAGAAAATAATAAATAATGTTTAGTGTGCTCTGAAAACAGAAATTGTAGAAAATATTTTAGAAAGATTTCAATCAAAAGCAGTAAAAGCTACAATCCTTTCTTCTTTGAAGAATTCCCTTGTGAAGACAATTTATGTTTTAAAAACATTTTACTTAGTTACATTTCTGCCTCCACCCTTGCTTACTCCATCTTCCCTATTCCAACAATGTCACATTTAACCAATCAATGTTCACCTCTATTTATAAGTGATAAATGTATCTATTTACAATCTACTGTATAAAATGGACCACTTAATTTCCCCATCTCTAAAACAAGTATACTTGTTTCACAAGAATGTTTAAAGGGGAAGCACCAAAAATGATTACAAATCACTTTATACAGCCCCTGAAACTCAAGCCTTACTTTCAGTATTAGAGAGATCATTTATTATATCATAAACATATTCCACTGTAGCAAGAAGCAAGAGTAAAAATCTACTCCTCCCCATTACTGCTGTCTTACTTGCCATACTTGACGTCACCAACCAATAGTTCTGGAGCTCTGTACCATCGGGTTGCCACATAATCAGTATAAACCTCCCCAGGAGCTGCCAATGTTCGCGCAAATCCAAAATCACATAGCTTGACAACGCCAGACTGGGAGACTAATATATTCTCTGGCTTTATATCTCTGTGTATGATCTAGACAAGAAGCAGAGTGTGACAGATGTTAAATAAAATTAATTATTTTGGGGCAGCTGCTCTGTGCAGGGCATTGTATCTTGTCCCTTTAAAGAATATAAACAAAAGCATAGAAAGTTGCTCCTAGCCCTAAACAACCTAGGACCTAGTTGGGCAAGAAAGAACATTTATACTTGAAATTTTATTTAAACAATCAAAAATATTGGATAAAATATATTTTTTCAAATTACTAAATCAACTGTTCAGTTAATGACTCTTCTCAAGACTAAGAGAGTAAGGCTATCATTGAAGCTGGGGCAGTCAGGGATAATTTTTATGCAGGGGTTGGGCTCTAACATAGGTCTTTAACACTAAGTATGACCTAGATAAATAAAGAAAAAGAAGGGCAACCCAAGCGAATGTAACAAAGAGAGCAAGAATGTAAATGGGGATAGATAAGAGATTGTGGGAAAACTTTTTTTTTTTTAAAGACAGAGTCTTGCTCTTGTTGCCCAGGCTGGAGTACAAAGGCGCGATTTCGGCTTACTGCAACCTCCGCCTCCTGGGTTCAAGCGATTCTTCTGTCTCAGCCTCTCGAGTAGCTGGGATTACAGGCTCCTGCCACCATGCCCAGCTAATTTTTGTACTTTTAGTAGAGACGGGGTTTCACCATGTTGGGCCAGGATGGTCTCAAACTCCTGACCTCAGGTGATCCACCTGCCTCGGCCTCCCAAAGTGCTGAGATTACAGGCGTGAGCCACTGTGCCTGGCCAGAAAACGTTTTTTTCTAGAGTACAGGTTGTGTGAAGTGGAGGAGGAATATCTCAGCTGACATACTAGGAAGTGTGGCAAGACCCTGGGAACCCATGGAAGTGACAGACAATGTGGTATTTAAAATTGATGTTGGCCATAAATGAGGTAAATCAGAGAGAAAGATGAGAGGCAGGAAGAAGAGCAGTGGGACCAGTATGAGGTGACAAAGGCCTAAACTAGGTTGGTGCTCAGAGGAATGGGAAAGAGGAAATGCAGCTTAGAAATACAATAAATCAAAAATAAATAGGCCGGGTGCAGTGGCTCACGCCTGTAATCCCAACACTTTGGGAGGCCAAGGCAGGCAGATCACTTGAGGTCAGGAGTTTGAGACCAGCCTGGCCAACATGGTGAAACTTCGTCTCTAGTCAAAATACAAAAATTAGCCAGGCGCGGTGGCAGGCACCTGTAATCCCAGATACTTTGAAGGCTCAGGCAGGAGAATCGCTTGAACCTGGGAGGGAGAAGGTTGCAGTAAGCCAAGATTGCACCATTGCACTCCAGCCTGGGTGACAGAGCCACCATCTGAAAAAAAATATATATATTTAAAAATCTACAGCTACGCAAAAGACATTATTAGGCCTAATTCTCTAATATAAGCAAATTGTATTTTGAAAACTACAAAAGATAGATTTGTTTTAAACTCTTTCAGAAGACCAGCATTCTAAATGGCAATCTGCCATTGCTGAGCATGTTGTACAGGCTACCAACTTTTATTACCCTAGATATCAGTGATGAGGACACAGGTCCAGTCTGAGACCATCTGTGCTGTGATAGAAAAAGCTAAACGGTCCAGGCACGGTGACTCACACCTGTAATCCCAGCACTTTGGGAGACCGAGGTGGGTGGATCATGAGGTCAGGAGATCGAGACCATCTTGGCTAACACAGTGAAACCCCGTCTCTACTAAAAATACAAAAAATTAGCCTGGCGTGGTGGTGGGTGCCTGTAGTCCCAGCTACTCAGGAAGCTGAGGCAGGGAGAATGGCGTGAACCTGGGAGGCGGAGCTTGCAGTGAGCCGAGATCATGCCACTGCACTCCATCCTAGGCGACAGAGTGAGACTCCATCTCAAAAAAAAAAAAAAAGAAAAAAAGAAAGAGCTAAACTGGGAGTTGGGAGACCTGGGTCTAGTCCCTGGTTTTCAGTACAGCCATAGACAACTCAATCTTTCTATCTTCTCAGCCCACAAATGAGGGGGCTAAAGTGCATGATCACCGTGTTTCTTCCCAACTCTAATACCTTATAACTTATGGTAACAACAATAGATTCTAAGTATAACCAAGATGATATGAGTTGAATTTTTCCTAAAATCCATCATTGCAGACTGGGGTGGCCAGAAAAAGTACTATGAAAAGGGTAGGCTCTGATATGGGTCTTTAATACTAGGTATAACCTAAATAAATTATGATACCTAGTAATTTCAGTAAAAAAGGCGTTTAGGGTTCTACAAACCTCATAATGTTCTGTACTATTTGGGTCAAACTTGAATTGACAGAAACCTTAAATTTGGTTTTAAATATGTTATTCAGTCTGGCTCATAAAAGGATTGAAATAATATTTATATTTTTAAAAATTCAAGTGTTCACATATATAGATACATTTAAAAATGAGTAATATATTTGAGAATAAATGTTTTCATTTTCTTAAAGTCAAATATCTCATCCTTATGTGTATGTATATGTGTTTATATATGTATGTATGTATATATTTGTGTGTTTATTTATTCCAGCCCCTACCATTATCTGTCTGCATTAAGAAGAGAAATGTTAACTGTCCAGAAAACAAAACCTTAAAATATACCTTTAATAATAATGGTAATAATAGCTAACACTTGAATACTTATGTGTCAGGCACTATTCTAAATGTTTCTCATGTTTTAACTTATTTTATTCTCACAATAACCCTAAGGATAGGTGCTATGAAGAGTTTAAGAGTAAATGGAGGCTGAGCACTCTTGTTGCCCAGGCTGGAGTACAAAGGCGCGATTTCGGCTTACTGCAACCTCCGCCTCCTGGGTTCAAGCGATTCTTCTGTCTCAGCCTCTCGAGTAGCTGGGATTACAGGCTCCTGCCACCATGCCCAGCTAATTTTTGTACTTTTAGTAGAGACGGGGTTTCACCATGTTGGGCCAGGATGGTCTCAAACTCCTGACCTCAGGTGATCCACCTGCCTCGGCCTCCCAAAGTGCTGAGATTACAGGCGTGAGCCACTGTGCCTGGCCAGAAAACGTTTTTTTCTAGAGTACAGGTTGTGTGAAGTGGAGGAGGAATATCTCAGCTGACATACTAGGAAGTGTGGCAAGACCCTGGGAACCCATGGAAGTGACAGACAATGTGGTATTTAAAATTGATGTTGGCCATAAATGAGGTAAATCAGAGAGAAAGATGAGAGGCAGGAAGAAGAGCAGTGGGACCAGTATGAGGTGACAAAGGCCTAAACTAGGTTGGTGCTCAGAGGAATGGGAAAGAGGAAATGCAGCTTAGAAATACAATAAATCAAAAATAAATAGGCCGGGTGCAGTGGCTCACGCCTGTAATCCCAACACTTTGGGAGGCCAAGGCAGGCAGATCACTTGAGGTCAGGAGTTTGAGACCAGCCTGGCCAACATGGTGAAACTTCGTCTCTAGTCAAAATACAAAAATTAGCCAGGCGCGGTGGCAGGCACCTGTAATCCCAGATACTTTGAAGGCTCAGGCAGGAGAATCGCTTGAACCTGGGAGGGAGAAGGTTGCAGTAAGCCAAGATTGCACCATTGCACTCCAGCCTGGGTGACAGAGCCACCATCTGAAAAAATATATATATATTTAAAAATCTACAGCTACGCAAAAGACATTATTAGGCCTAATTCTCTAATATAAGCAAATTGTATTTTGAAAACTACAAAAGATAGATTTGTTTTAAACTCTTTCAGAAGACCAGCATTCTAAATGGCAATCTGCCATTGCTGAGCATGTTGTACAGGCTACCAACTTTTATTACCCTAGATATCAGTGATGAGGACACAGGTCCAGTCTGAGACCATCTGTGCTGTGATAGAAAAAGCTAAACGGTCCAGGCACGGTGACTCACACCTGTAATCCCAGCACTTTGGGAGACCGAGGTGGGTGGATCATGAGGTCAGGAGATCGAGACCATCTTGGCTAACACAGTGAAACCCCGTCTCTACTAAAAATACAAAAAATTAGCCTGGCGTGGTGGTGGGTGCCTGTAGTCCCAGCTACTCAGGAAGCTGAGGCAGGGAGAATGGCGTGAACCTGGGAGGCGGAGCTTGCAGTGAGCCGAGATCATGCCACTGCACTCCATCCTAGGCGACAGAGTGAGACTCCATCTCAAAAAAAAAAAAAAAGAAAAAAAGAAAGAGCTAAACTGGGAGTTGGGAGACCTGGGTCTAGTCCCTGGTTTTCAGTACAGCCATAGACAACTCAATCTTTCTATCTTCTCAGCCCACAAATGAGGGGGCTAAAGTGCATGATCACCGTGTTTCTTCCCAACTCTAATACCTTATAACTTATGGTAACAACAATAGATTCTAAGTATAACCAAGATGATATGAGTTGAATTTTTCCTAAAATCCATCATTGCAGACTGGGGTGGCCAGAAAAAGTACTATGAAAAGGGTAGGCTCTGATATGGGTCTTTAATACTAGGTATAACCTAAATAAATTATGATACCTAGTAATTTCAGTAAAAAAGGCGTTTAGGGTTCTACAAACCTCATAATGTTCTGTACTATTTGGGTCAAACTTGAATTGACAGAAACCTTAAATTTGGTTTTAAATATGTTATTCAGTCTGGCTCATAAAAGGATTGAAATAATATTTATATTTTTAAAAATTCAAGTGTTCACATATATAGATACATTTAAAAATGAGTAATATATTTGAGAATAAATGTTTTCATTTTCTTAAAGTCAAATATCTCATCCTTATGTGTATGTATATGTGTTTATATATGTATGTATGTATATATTTGTGTGTTTATTTATTCCAGCCCCTACCATTATCTGTCTGCATTAAGAAGAGAAATGTTAACTGTCCAGAAAACAAAACCTTAAAATATACCTTTAATAATAATGGTAATAATAGCTAACACTTGAATACTTATGTGTCAGGCACTATTCTAAATGTTTCTCATGTTTTAACTTATTTTATTCTCACAATAACCCTAAGGATAGGTGCTATGAAGAGTTTAAGAGTAAATGGAGGCTGAGTACAGTGGCTCATGCCTGTAATGCCAGCACTTTGGGAGGCCGAGGTGAGCCGATCACTTGAGGCCAGAAGTTCAAGACCAGCCTGGCCAACATGGCGAAACCCCATCTCTACTAAAAATACAAAAATTAGCCAGGTGTGGTGGTGCACACCTGTAATCCCAGCTACTTGAGAGGCTGAGGCAGGAGAACCGCTTGAACCCAGGAGGCAGAGGTTGCAGTGAGCCAAGATCGTGTCACTCCAGCATGGGTGACAGAGTGAGACTCTGTCTCAAAAAAAAAAAAGAGTAAATGGACTAGAAAAAAAGTAATATGACTGCCAGGCAACATTAATAACACTAATGTTCCCTTGAGACAAGTGTTTATAAATTAGAGTGAGATCAGTTTACCCATAAAAATTCACATTTTCTATAGTTTAAAGAGATATGTAAATGCTCTGAAGCTTAGCAGAAAACCACTGGTATTTTTTTTTTTTTGAGATGGAGTTTTGCTCTTGTGGCCCAGGCTGGAGTGCAATGGCACAACCTCAGCTTACCACAACCTCTGCCTCCCAGGTTCAAGCGATTCTCCTGCCTCAGCCTCTCAAGTAGCTGGGATTACAGGCATGTCCCACCACACCCAGCTAATTTTGTATTTTTAGTAGGGATGGGGTTTCTCCATCTTGGCCAGGCTGGTCTCAAACTCCTACCTCAGGTGATCCGCCTGCCTCAGCCTTCCAAATTGCTGGAATTACAGGCGTGAGCCATCACGCCTGGAGAAACACTGGATTTTACAATCTCCTTTTTTTTTTTTTTTTTTTTTTGAGACAGAGTCTCACTGTATTGCCCAAGCTGAAAGGCAGTGGCACGATCTCAGCTCACTGCAACCTCTGCTTCCTGGGTCCAAGCAATTCTCCTGCCTCAGCCTCCCAAGTAGCTGGGATTACAGGTGCCTGCCACCATGCCCAGCTAATTTTTTTGTATTTTTAGTAGAGATGGGGGTTTCACCATGTTGACCAGGCTGGTTTCGAACTCCTGACCTTAAGGGATCAGACCACCTCGGCCCCACAAAGTGCTAGGATTACAGGCATGAGCCACCATGCCCGGCCTAAAATCTCTTTCCTTAAACACAGAATGGCACCCATGCCAGCAGTACTTGACTCTAAACTGCCTGGATGTATCTGTACATCTAAAGGTAGAATGTGTTATGTTAAATGTGGGTTGATTCATCATGAAAGTATAAAAATAAAGGGACACAGAAGCAATGGAGGCAGGAAACATTCAAATGCGCTTCTAACGTGAGAGAGACAATGGTTCTTTTTGCTTACTGGTTCCACTGGCAAGCCTATCCTTAGTACAGAGATGAATGTAGGGCATTCAGCCACCTAACTCCAAATATTACAGGCCCATTGGGAAGATATCATCATTTTTATGAAGAAGGATGAATCAGTATCTTTTAAACTGATACATTAAGTATTTAATTCACTAACACCTCATGCTGATCTGATTTCTTGAAAATTCAACATTATTGTTATTCTACTTTATATATTTCACCCCTGTAACAATTATCTCTCTTTGCAATTTACTAAACTGGCACTCAGTCTCCTGAGTTTGGTCAATGTGAGTCTGCCCTAAGAGACAGATAGTCTCAAAATTAGGTTTCTCAGAATAGATTTTCTGAGCCTGTATCATTCCAAAGTTGCCAGGAGGCCACGATGGAAGGCCTCCTAAAAAAGGGCAGTGTGTTTTCCAGTGGAAACTAGGTATCTGCCTCTACTAAGCAATTTTTTTATATATGTAGACTTCACACTATAACTGAATAACATAACGAAACTACACAATAAAAGACAGTTAAAAAATTAAAGACAGTGAATAATACTAATAACCGAAAAGAAATATATCAATTTAGGTGGCAGGTACGTAAAATGATTTTTTCTTTCTTTTATAATTATCTTTAAAGTTTTTCTACCATTAATATTTATTACTTTTATAACCACACAAAAAAATGTCATTTAAAATATTTTGTAAAACTGGCAAAATCTATGTGTTGAGCTATTCATTTATACTTTATAGGTGTCATTCTTCTTGGAGGTGCTTTTATATGATACTCAAAGTATATAAAATTATTGTGATAGACTACAGGGTAAGGATAGAAATTTTCATATATTCACACTTTGTAATTAGGCAAGAGAACACAAACTAACAAACACACAGACCCTTGGGTCTATACATTTCTCAAGATTCATCACTTAAAATTTGTGCATTTCATTTAGTAAATATTACCTTAAAAAAGAACAGAAAACAGGGCCAGGCACAGTGGCTCACGCCTGTAATCCCAGCACTTTAGGAGGCCAAGGCAGGTGGATCACCTGAGGTTGGGAGTTTTGAGACCAGCCTGGACAACATGGTGAAACCCCATCTCTACTAAGAATACAAAAATTAGCCGGGCATGGTGGTACATGCCTGTAATCCCAGCTACTTGAGAGGCTGAGGCAGGAGAATCACTTGAACCTGGGGGGCAGAAGTTGCAGTGAGCTGAGATCTTGCCACTGAGCTACAGCCTGGGCAAAAGAGCAAGACTCCATCTCGGAAAAAACCAAAACAAACAAACAAAAAAACCCAGAAAACAAATATTTAACTCCAATTAATAAGATGCACAGATGAAGTATTTAGTGTTAAAGTATACTGACTTTCTGAAACTTATTTTCAAATGCATAAATCAATAAGACAGATTAAAGGATTAATTAATGAATAAATATGTGATAAAGCAAATTATTTAAACCCAATACTTACATTGTGACTGTGACAAAATCCAATTCCATTAATAATCTGAAACAAATACTTTTGAACTACTTGGTAGTCTAGTCCATTTGGAAAGAGCTCCAAGTCGTCAAGAATTGTGTGGTCAACAAATTCAAAGACTAGGTACCATCGTTTTTTTTTCTTACACACTTCCAAGAGATTCACCAAGTTTTCATGCCTCAGTTGCTGTTATTAAAAAATGCAAAATAGCTGTTATTTTAAAATGCAAAATAGTTTATATAAACTAAGATCAAATTATTAGCAATTAATTATTTAAAATAGATCTCAGCATAATAAAAACATAAATAAAATGCATATACAGTATAAATTGTAAAAGCATATTCTGGTTTTTAAACTACAATTAAGAGACTATATTGCTCCTTTCTCCTCTCAGAGAACAAAATCAAGCTAATAAGAAAAAGAAGTGTAACTCCATCTTTGATTAAACTAAGAGGAATCTATGACCTCCTACTCATAACAAATGAGATGGGACTACTAAATGTAATAAAGGTCAAACAGAAGTATAGGAAGACACCAAAAGATCATCTGTGGCTACAAAACTGGCAGCGTAAGAGTTCTCTGAAGCCAGTGACGTACCCTGAAAAGACAAAAAAAGTCCTCCTTTAATATAATGGAAAACTATATATATATGTATGTATGTATAATGGAAATAAGGCTCATAGAGAGCAGTGAAAACATCCCTAGAACTGAATGGCACCAAGAAACAGCAGTGGGGAAGGGCTGGATAAGGAATCACACAGAAACACATTTGCTGGAAACAGTCTCTCAGTGAGGCAGAGTAGAAGGCAAAACAATTCGTTATGAACAAACCTGCAACTGCAAGTTTTAGAGAAATTAAACCTAATATAATTAAATCCTACACTCAGGCATATGTGATAAGGAACACCATTGTGAATTATGGTAAATTCCTGCTAGCCTGGAACAAAGTCATGGCCTCTCCCCAGAACCTCCTACAAATAGTCCTCCAAAGACTCAGACTTTATTATAAGAAACAATCTAAAAGGAACCAATCAAGGATCTATTCAAAGATGTAAGAAATGAGGAAGAAGGGAGAAAGAAACACAAATGGTAGATTAACACTCACCAGAAAAAAATGTTGCCACCTTTAAAGAGAAAGAAATCAATGGAATACAGAATACAGCTCTCAAAATCCTCAAGAAAATCCAAGTATGATCCAGGAACGTTATACTCAACCAAATTGTCATTCAGATAAAAGACAACATGAGCATTGAATCTATTTAAGGCAGGACTAAATCTTATACAAATGTGGGCATCATGGTTACAAAATAGAAAGTGAACATTTTAAATACAACAATGCACAAATGATATAGAAGATGTAAACAAGATAAAAGTGTATATATACACCAGGTGCAGTGGCTCGCACCTGTAATCCCAGTGACTTGGGAGGACAAAGCAAGAGAATCGCTTGAGGCCAGGAATTTGAGACCAGCCTGCGCATAGCGAGACCCCATCTCTACAAAAAATTTTAAAACTTAGGCTGGTATGGTTGGGCACACCTCCAGTCCCAGCTACTCTGGAGGCTAATGTGGGAGAATCACTTGAACCCAGGAGTTGGAGGCTGCAATGAGTGTGGTGAGCTATGATCATGCCACTGCACTTCAGCCTGAGCAACACAGCAAGACCTTATCTTGAAAGAAAATGAAAAAACAAAACACTAAAGTAAATAAGATATTTTCTGAAATCAGATGGTAGGTGAGTGGGAGAGAAAAGGAACTAGAAATATAATAATTACTTTACAAAGAAGTAACTATGTTATTTAACACTATAGTTATTAAGGTAAGCAATACAGCTAGGCATGGTAGCTCATGCCTGTAATCAGTAGCTTGAGGCCAGGAATTGGAGGCTGCAATAAGCTATGATCATGCCACTGCATTCCAGCCTGGGTGACAGAGTGAGACTCTGTCTCTTAAAAAATTAAAAAATAAAAAAAGGTTACCAAGGAAACATATCCAATATAAATATAAACATAATATAAGGAATTCAAGGGGCCAGGCACAGTGGCTCATGGCTGTAATCTCAGCATTTTGGGAGGCTGAGGCAGGTGGATCACCTGAGGTCAGGAGTTCAAGACCAGCCTGGCCAACATGGCAAAACCCCATCTCTACCAAAAATACAAAAAAATTAGGCGTGGTGGCATGCCTGGCTACCACCATGAAGTAATGAAGTGATATCAATGAAGTAATCACAGCTTCTAAGGAGTTTGAGGCAGGTGAATCACTTGAACCCAGGAAGCGGAGGTTGCAGTGAGCCGAGATCGCACCACTGCACTCCAGCCTGGGTGACAGAGTAAGACTCCATCTCAAAAAAAAAAAAAAGGAATTCAGAGATCATATAGAAAAATATTTTTAAAAGAGTTATACATATACATCATGGAATATTATGCAGCCATAAAAAAGAATGAGGTCATGTCCTTTGCAGGGACATGGATGGAGTTGGAAGCCATTATCCTCAGCAAACTAACAGGAACAGAAAACCAAATACCACATGTTGTCACTTACAAGTGGGAGCCAAATGATGAGGGCACATAGAGGGGAACAACACACACTGGGGCCTACCGGAGGGCAAAGGGTGGGAGAAGGGAAAGGACCAGGAAAAATCTGGATAGTCAATGACTGACAAATAATTCTTTAAACCCAAGACTTACATTGTGACTGTGACAAAATCCAATTCCATTATTAATAATCTGAAATAAATACTTTTGAACTACTTGGTAGTCTAGTCCATTTGGAAAGAGCTCCAAGTCATCAAGAATTGTGTGCTCAACAAATTAAAAAACTAGGTACCATCATCACCTAATCATTAGCCTAATGGATACCAGGCTGAATATCTAGGTGATGAAATAATCTGTACAACAAA